CACAAGGTGTAGGCGCCTTGATCCTGAATGTTTGCTTAGGGCATTAAGGTTTTCAGGTAAGTCCCCCTTCTCTCCCTCTTATTCTTTATTTCATAGGTCCTCATGGTTGTATGGCAGCGAAGCATCAGTTCGAATGGCTGATGTACTGCTGTTGATGATGATGATGATGATACAGGAAGACGGAACCATACTGACCAAGCCTCAGCCAATTGCATCATGCCTTTATGGCTCGTCATGAACTGGCCACCTCGCGGTTTCGCTCTACTTGGTGCAGCCACGGCGTATAATGCACGCCGAGGAAGCCGATCAACGAGCATACCGAGGACATGGCCTAGCCAAGACAACTGATTAAGAATTTGATAAGACTTTTCTCCCGGTAGTTCAAGAGCTACGCAGTAGAGCCTAGTCCAGAAAAGCACCCGATGCGTTTCGCCCTATTGGGGCTCGTCAGTGGTGCGCATTCCCTCGGTCCCCTAATGGGGATCGAACCCATAACCGCTAGAGGCAGATGCCAACCAGCGAGCAGCTTAAGCCACTGAGCCAAGGGGGAACGTTGGCTGGGCTACATATTTTGAAAACTAACTGGGATATAGCACCACCTATCTTCCACTGTCACTGACAGTGTTTAGCCTGCGAGGTGATGACGTCCTCTCACTAGAACTAGGAGAGGCTACTTATCTTTTATTACTCGTAAGTAGCAGGATTTTAGTTGTAATTTTGATAAGGCTAGTTGGCATCTTCCTCTAGCGGTCATGGGTTCGAGCCCCATTAGGGGACCAAAGAAATGCGCACCACTGACGAGCCTCAATAGGGCGAAACGCGTTTGGTGTTTTCCGGACTAGGCTCTGCTATGTAGCTTGTGAACTACTGGGATGAAAGCCTTATCAAAACTACAACTAAAATGCTACTACTTACGATTAAAATTTGTCAAACACTCGAGAGGCACCAGAAGGCTTACTGCCAAAAACCAACTTACGGACCTCAGCATTGCTCACCCGATGTTCCCACCAAACGTGAGCAATATTCCGCAAGCACAGGTGGTCAAACACGGTGTTGCAATTAATGTCTTCAGTACGAAGTGGCCAGGTCTCTGATCCATATAGTAACACTGGTCTTACCGAAGCGTTATACACCCTACATTTCACTGATAAGCTGAGATCCGGCTGTTGCCATAGATGGTTGAGCCTCTAGAAAGCCACACATGCCTTGCTGATGCGCAAAGTAACTTCTTCAGTAATGTGACCACCAGAGGTGACACAGCTACCAAGATAAGTGAACCGATCCACCACTTCCAGCGGATGTTCGGAGATAGCTAAAACCGGAGGTGTGTCGGCCCAGTCCAGCAACAGCACTTTGAAGGTGCAAGGTACATGCCGAAGCGTGCGACGCTACACGTCAGTCTACCTAGCAGTGTTTGCATAGCCACTGTGTCGGCCTCAAGAGGAGCTATGTCGTACGCATACTCCAGGTTTGTCAGTCGGTCACCTGGTAAAACTTCCACTCCGGTAGGGTCTGAAAGAACGGAGTCACTCATGACTATTTCGATAACAAAGTTGAAGAAGAAAGGAGTTATAGGACAATATTAGTGAACCCCACTTGTTGTGGGAACTCAGGGGAGAGTTTACCGTAGACCTTTAAACGGCCTCGAGAATCACAATAGAGGGACTTCAGAGTGGAAAGGAATTTAGCTGGCACGCCTTTCATGAATAGGCAGTGCCACAAACTGGCACGATCAACAGAGTCGAAGGCGGCTTTCAAGTCAAGGAAAAGCATCATAGTCGGTCGTTACTACGTGTGTCAATGCTCTAAAACTTGGCGACATTTAAATATGTGGTCGATGCAACCACGGCAAGGGCGGAAGCCAGCCTGGCTTCCACTGATTCGGTCCTAATGGGGACCAGTAAGTTGTCGGAGAATGATGCTCGTGAGAAGTTTTGTGGCAATGGAAATAAGGCTGATGCCTATAGCCATTGACTCAACAGTCTGACTCACAAGGCGGTGGGAGTTTTGAGGTTCGCTTGAGGGACTTCACCCGAAGCCTTTGGTCCAATAGCCTGACCCACAAAGCAGTGGGGAGCAAGTCCAGCTCGGGAGTATGATTGGAGAGACCCACTGGGATCTGCTTGAGGCCTGTCACACACAGCCTTTGGAGATTTATAACAATGCACATAAGTTTTACGGCCGTATTACGTTACGCACCTGCGATCACAGCCAGTCGCAAGTGGGAGTTGGCGGGTTTGCACCAATTTGACCAGGGCCTGCCTGGCTTGAGGCGGGCAGTAGCAAACCATTTAGCATCCGAAGGTGTGCTCCCAGCATAACAGACGATGCGTGGCGCTCGTGCTCTGCATCAATCGAGCTGTGAGCATATAACCCGTAGACCTGTTATCCCCCATGGTTAGGTTTTAAAGGAAGAGGGCCATCGACCTCTCCCCAACCTCCGAAGAGGATTGGATTGTGAGACTGAGTTAGTCTGACCCCTAACCATTGACCTGTCTGGTATGAGTGGCTCTGAAGGTACTCGAAAAGTGTCACCCAGCATAGCTCATTGGATCACGGTGGTACGCAAATCCAATTTTGTTACGCTGATTAGACGCTCTTACAATATAAGCAAACAGCGAGATTGCTCCTTTGAAAATATCGCAAGGCTCCAGTCTGTTCGCCTTAGCTGCTTTTCCAGTTTTCAACGATGGGAGCTTATCGATACAATTTGACAAAAGCTTACAGACTACATCAAATATTGCACTGACATGTGTCGTCCTTTAGAATGATCTACCTTAGGGTGAGCAGGTTTTCATTAGCACCACTGCTGAAGCGTCTTCAAAGGATGAAACCGAGAGCTTATACATGTAAGATGTCTATTCGTGTCAAGAGATTAACATTAGCAATTAAATCCGAGATCAAGAGATTAACTAACATATACATCGAAGCGGTTGTAAGCAAACACAACTGTCGTAATCCATGAGGTTTTTGAGGCAGCTCTGTGGTAAGAGCCCCTGCAGCCAGAGCGGTGAAGTGGAGGTGGATAAACTGAATTCTGAGTTTAGTTCCGCCTGATTAAATGCACCCGTGTGTTTTCCTTCATGAGCTCAAGTCTTGCTGCGCTCTTCGATCAAAGCAACGTTCACAAAGAACTCAGAAAATGAAGTCAAACAAACCTAGTGATCCGGATGCTGTCTCACCATTAGCTTTGAAGGAGTGTGCTGACTATCTCAAGCTACTTTTAACAGATCGTTTAATGAATGAATCTCGGACATTTGGAGATCTGCCAGAATAATCTCAGTACCCATAAATGGATCATAAAAGTCTCGCCGATTGTGTGCACATTTGTGCTCCTGAAAGTCTTTGAAAAACTTTTAATTCCGCGGATTCTTACGGTCACTCCTGCTGACGACATCTATGGGTTCGTATATAGACCCAGCGCGCAACCTTGAATGTGGTGGATATCTTGTTCATTCTAAAGCGTCTACACTGGACCCAAAATGTAAATCCGTGCGGCTTCTCTTCCTTAATGATTTGAATTCCTTTGGAAACCTGGATACTTCAGCTTGTTATAAGAGAATAGAGTCCACCCGGGTGTGTGTAATCCACTGTACGATTATTTCAGGGATTGCATTCATTTCATCAATCTAAACAGTAAGAAATCTGCTGTCCTCCGTGCCGACTATTGTGTTCTGCAGGGAGTCATCCTATCAGCTTTTCCATTTTCCTTATATGTCGAACGCATCCTTATACAAACCAAGTTTATAGGATGAAAACATACCAACGATGTTGTGCTGCAATGTATGGCCTCCACTATTCAGGATCCCTCATCACTTCAACGTAAGCCGGAAGATCTAGTGCTGTGGTCTTCATTCAAATCCAATACCGTTGGCGCTGCTAAATGCAGTGATGTAATATTCTCTTTTCTTCGTGGTGATAAGCTTCAAATGCTCATAGCTACATCCCCAAGCTAATTGTGAACGAGAATCTTATACCCAGATCAGCCCACGTTCACGTAGCTCGGTATCCTTTGTTACGGAGAGAGCTTACAGCTAGCAATCAAGCCGAGAGCAGTGCCGTAAAAGTGGATCGATCTGCAATTAGAGATCGAACTCGACTATAGATCAAAATGCAAATCGATGTGGAATCAGCGGCAAGTTGGGTCATGAAATTGAGCCATTTGATTTGTATTAATTAACATCAATCAGCATCTCCAATATTGTTGTTTAAGTAGTTGCCCACAACCTATTTATTGCGCCGTGCTCTCATACAATACGTCTCTCTGTCTACCTGGTTCTGACCTTTTGTATTCCGTTGGTTGGCTGGGCGCGTGACTGAGCAGTCAGACAGTCGCAGTCTCAAAGGGGCAGCTAGCAACAATACATCAATCGTCAGTGGCAGAGAGTAGAGGTAAAGAAGAAGCGTTACAACACTTTGTCCCCAAAACTCGCGGGGTCCACACATATCTGTGCAGCTTTTTATAAGGTCCGAAAGCTTTCCTGTTACGTCCTTAGACTTTAGGTGCTTTTATTATCCCGTATCTCATGCATTATCCCCGCCCAGCCGTCCTCTTTCTTGGAATGCTCTAGAAAGACGATATCTTATAGGTATGATCGATAAAACACATATCTAGATGCAGCGGCTTGTTTAGAGGCACTTCGGTTGCTCTGATTATTTCTAGACATCTTGATGCTTTTAGTGATATTTTCACAAGGTACTAACGGATTGAGTTCACCTATAGCGCAGTAACGCTTCAAAAACGCTCTCGTTCTCTTCTACGTGTCCGAAACGCATTGTTTCATAGAACTGCTTTGCTTCATCTATCACGTTTGGCTGTTGATTCATCGGAAGTTATAAACATAATGCGCGAACGGTTGTTGGAGGAACATTTGTACATAGCTTCCATTTTCTCTCCACGTATGTATGTTATATTTGTATACTCATAAAGCATAGCCGCAACGGTAGTGTACATGCTGAAAACGAACCCATTAGGGTTCATAAAGATTAATTTGACTTACTTGCAAGTCTGTCTGCTGGTTAGCTTGCAACACACCCAGCCGTTGTCTCTCCAGTTGTAGCTCCATTTCTTGTCGTTTCCACCTACGACGCCAACGACTCATTTCAGACAATGCTGTGGCACACCGTTTTTGAAGTTCATCGACTGAGGTGTGACGTACGCTTGATCGCGATCTGCAGAATTCACGTGCTCTTTGTGGAGAATGTGGTGAGTTTTGAAACATACAAGGGAGACTCTGATTGACCCTGCGCGTCGGCGGAGCAAGTGTGCTTTCCGTCACTTGTCGCTTTAATTGCGTCAGCTGACCACGTAGGCGCTTAACAGCAGACGGAAGAGCACACATGACAATAAGTGGACGACTACGGATGTGTGATGAAGACTGATTGATAGGGTAACAGCGGCGCGTCAGTTAACAAAAGGAAATAGTCAACTGAACTGAAATGGGATGGTTTGATGACAGAAGTGATCAAAACAGAAACGAACAAAGAAGAACCGGTTAGCAAGATTTAGAAAATCATACTAGCCCTTACGGCACTAGGTAGACCGACGACACATTTTGCAGATGAAAGTGAGTTAACTAGTGGGTTGTGGGAACAGGATGCCACTCGCGATTACGCTGAGCTATGAGTTATTAATATCACGTGTATTTCCAGTTAATAAGTCCGTATCGCAAGAAAATTGGTTCTGGTTACCAGGGGGCGTGCGATATAACGTACGATCGAACACTGGCCGTGGGCCATCAGCTCGAGAGTAAACCGACTCAGATGCAGACTTCATGTTACAAGTAATCCATCATTTCCGCGACGATTGAAACACAATTGGGAATCGTCAAGTCATTTACCAAATACATTCGTGGACACCAAGGTGACTGGTCCCATGTTTGCGTGAGCGTTCAGTTACGTATACTGAGATCGCATGACAGATGTAACGGGAATAGATACTAAAATTTCCGGTCCCTTGCTTCACACTAAAATATTCGGAATTAGGTGATATCTAACAACGATCGCCGTTTAATCACAGTACTTCGACACATGCTAGAGGTAACGCTACTCCTGTTCATTGACATTGTGGCGCTCGCCAAGTGAGTGAGTTGATTGGATCATCTAACACACTCAACCACTTCTACCTCACCTGTACCTGCATTCTGATTCCCTTCGCTGTGGTGCACAGCATCCAGAGAACCGATTGGTGGAAACAAACTCGCTTGCCAGTCCCTGCTTCTAACGTTATTGGTGAGAAACAGTATTTCCTTGCTGAGTCCATTCAAGCAAAAACACCCTGTCTAATTTCAGTGCACGATGAATTGTTGAATATCCTAGTTCTGGCTAGTTCTGGCTAACTAAAGAGTGCAACCAAACATGGAAACAGTCGTCCACATGCCCGGAAAAGCATTAGACTGCAGTTTCAGCCTGTTGGGCATCGTCAGTAGTGCGCATCCTTCGGATCCATCAGGAATCGAACCCATGACCACCAGCAGCTTGCACCGTCAGTCATCAGCTTATGCCACTGGGCCACGGGAGACTGCTCCAGACCGTCGTGATTTACAAGCTAACTGCGATATAGCGCGTCTTATCCTCTACTGCCATGCAAGTTACGAACGTTGCAGAGAACAGGGTTGGCCCCGGAATACGCGACGTCCACTAACAGTCCGCCCTAACAGTTTCTAAATGCTGTGTCGTACGTAGCTACTGTTAGTGGACGTCGTGTCTTCCGGGGCCAACCCTGTCCTCTGCAACGTTCGTAACTTGCATGGCGATGGAGGATAAGACGCGCTATATCGCAGTTAGCTTGTAAATCATGACGGTCCGAAGCTGTTCCCCGTGCCCCAGTGGTATAAGCTGCTAACTGGCGGTGCAAGCCGCTGGTGATCATGGGATCGATTCCTGATGGATCCGAAGGATGCGCACTACTGATGGTGCCCAACATGCTGAAACTGCAGTCTAGTGCTTTTCCGGGCATGTGGACTACTATCTGATTTGGAAAGTGGCTGCGAAGAACCTCACTTAATTACATCAAAAAATCCCCTACTCATGAGTACATCAAAATATGGAAACAGCCGCGAAATGCGGAGTTAGCTGTGGGCAACGACCAGGACTTATCCTGCCAAACATTGATAACTACATGCGTACTAAAACAGTGTGTTCACAACACAAGAGAACGGGTGCGCATGAGGTTTGTACTGCTCAGCTGAAGTGGAATGATCGAAAAGTCTTCAAATATAACTTTACCTGGTTCTCGGCGGTCGAACGAGCCAACGACGCTTGACGAGCCGACGACTGACTGTTCAGTAACTGCAAACCTTGGTAAATCTGGGGTGAAATGGAAGCCGGGAGGGGGTGGAAATTGAGGCGCTTTGTTATTTATTCAGTGGTTCTTAGTCATTAAAACCAAAGAGAATGCACAACCACGTCACTGTTAATGCCATACTCGGATCAATCATCGGCTTTGAAGGCTTTTGAGAAGAAATGCTTCGTTTATACCTAAACACATCTTAACCATTAACATCACCTATGTGTCTGAGGTGCTGATGCATTCGTGCAATGCGAATTCTGACATCCTTTTCGCTGCACTTGCAAAGTAGGCATGAGTGGCTTAAGCAATGCCAGCAACAACTCCACGTGGCACACACTGGTGCTCGACGGAATGTCCAGGGAGAAATCCAATGAAACTCACGACTGAGCTTAAATCAGCCCGCAATCCTTCAATACGCAAATCAATTTTGTGTAATTTGTGGGGAGGTATGTGCACCAAAAGTATGGATGAGCCACAGTCCGCTGAGTGATGGAATCACGCCTTCAGCTCAATGGTATCAGAGGGCAATGCAACCAGTCGTCCCCAGTATCCGTTAGTGGTCCCCCATAGCCAGCAATCGAGATGGCGGCGTTGGACGGGAGTGAACTCATTAAAAGCTGAATCGATCGCAGACAGGACTAGTATGTCGCTCAGGTGTGAACATCGATAACCCATACAGAATTGATATACGGTACTACTGAACTAGTCTGGTGGAACAGAGGCCTCATTAGCTGGGGCTATAGGGTCAGCACATCTGCTTATCAGGCAAGCAAGGGTACCAATAAAAATGGGTTCCAAGGTAGTGGATAATAAACTAATGTGAAAGCGCATGTCCAAAAATTGGAAGCAGCTCGCAGGAACAAAAGGCGCTTTTCACATATGGTCGGCAATCTAACGTAACCTCAGCCTATTCGTGCTGTTCTTCTGTGAAAAGCCATATCACTAAATTCAAGAAAAAATAGTCACCAACATCACCAAGAAACCAGCACGTTTATTCTGAACCGGTATCGCGTGAAAGCCATGAACTGTTGGCGATGACGCTACTAATAAGGTACAAGAAGATTAGAGAAGGGAAGCAGTTTGGCAAATGGAAACATTAAGCAAGCAAGTATAGTCAAGAGACCAACACTGTGACAATACTGTAGGGCAAATACGGTCCCAGTGATCGGAATGGCACAGGCTGACGTCAAAGTCAATCAAAGCCAAACTGAGATTGTGTGTCGCAATACCAGACACAGGGGGTTCTCCAAAACCCGACAATGAAGGATGGGTCTGAATATCTTGTGGAGATGAGGCGGTGTAGGTGATGCAGTTTCTTTGCAGCTATCAATGCTTTGCATCATAATTAATCATGTTCTACAGGTAATTAAGCAGTATACACAATTCAACAACGCAGTTCGGTTAGAAAAATTTGGTAAATATGACATCTGAGATGAAAGAAACTTCATATCCACTGCCGTTTCAATCCGGGCAAATAATGGGCCACATGGACTTCAAACTGGAAGTCAAGACGGACCAATCACAAAACAGCCTAATAGTCAGCGGTCCTTATTCGCGCCATCAGATCAATGTCTCCCCACTTCAAATCACCTAGCGTCCAAGACATGCACAAAGAAGCGATGTCATCCTGAGTAAAACCTAAAACGTGTCCTAACCAAGGGGAATTATGCGATTGTACCTGGCAGTTCAATGAAGCGAGTCGTTTATCGCCTAATACTGATCTACACACCTTATCGTTCAGGATATAAACCATTATCTGTAAAAAGCCTATCCAGTAGAATACAACCACTACACAATATGGCTGTGAAGGCAAAGTTGGTGCTTCTGAGATTCCCCAGTATTTAGAGTATATTAACGAGAGGTCGTGGTGACCGAGGTCTGGTATCCGATGGACAAACGTAAAGCCAACGAGAATACAATGGATAAAGGGGCACTGGTAAAAATGCGGACAAAATACTCAGTTCAAAAGCAATGAATTAGTTCAAGCGGAAACCGATCCAAATATATTTATCATTGTAGTGCGGATTTTCAACATTAGTAGGATCCTGGGCTACTATCATAGGGTTTCACCCAATAAACGGTTGCAACTACAATCTCTGTGGTGTGCACCAACCACGTTACACCACCCATTCACCATTTGATCAGATTCCCGGCACTGCTCAATACATCGCTGGCTATGAGAAGGTCGCATGTATCAAGATACATCGGGAGACAAAAGTAATTTGATACTGAAATACATCTTCGTACCGTCTGAGTATTCTCATCAAACGAGTACTGAGACTGTATGTAAGAGCCAGTAGAAAAGTTTCTGTACGATTCCAGAGAAGTATGAAAAGTCAAAAACATTTAACTGCTAACTGTCAACGGTAGTGTTTTATCAGTTAATCGTTTATCTCTGTTCGGTTAGGAATTCGCATTGGTGTCATTATTTCCGGGTGCACGCATCGCACGTGCACCGTTACACAAAAGCACAGATTTATTGAAATAATCGTCAGTACGTGTTTTGAAACGTTTCACAGAATCAGCCTCTATTAGTCCTGCTGGTAGTGTTATCCATAAGTTTACGATTCTTCGTTCGATACAATGCTGAGTTGATACCTTGTTCATGCAGGGGACCCCGAGTTTATAACGGTGTTCTCGGGTGTTACAGGGTTCCCTCAGGAGAAATATTGGCCGCGGTATGGTAAAGTAATTCAAGTGTAATACTCCATGGGTCATAATAAGGTCAATCCTTACTCGGTGGTAGGATGGAGTGTAGAGTCCGAGCCTTTCACAAGGTTTTATAAGGAAGTTTTCGTAGACTGGGCATCATTCTAGCTGTGATATGCTGTATTTTCTCCAGCTTTTCAGTTTCCCACTAAGTTATCGGATAGTAACCTGGGGCGCCGTATTGAAGGATCGGTCTAATGCGCGAGGTGAATACGCGAGGGACGGTTTCTTCGGACCATGAGGAGAAATTGCGTCGTACCGTCCAGAGCATACGAAGTCCCGCACGGTACAATTTCTCTGTATCTTCTAGTGATCTCATATCATGTCGCGAGAGTTCTCCTAAGTCTCTGACAGATGTGTTAGGGTAGAGCCACCGACCGTCCCAAGTGTATGATCGAGGGTTCGGACGTCTGGTGATACTGATGAACTCCGACTTGCTTGCGTTAAGAGGGTGTTGCATTTCAGTGGAACACGTTGACAGTCGATCTATGTTATGTTGGAGGCGAGTGCAGCCGTCCTGGTTCGCAATGATCCTCCAGATTTTCCAATCATCTGCAAATAGGGTACATGGTGACTGGAGCTGCTGCGGGATTTCTTTGATATGAATAAGAAATAATACTGACCCTGGTACAGTTCCTTGAGACACGCCAATGGTCGAAGGGAGCCAGTCTATCTGGTAGTCATTAACATGTCCTTTCCACTCCCGTCTTACAATAAATTCGTGTACCCACTGAAGTAGCGTGCTACCGATCCCGTAGGTCCTCACTTTACGAAGGAGAACCTCGTAGTTCACTCTGTCAAATGCCTTACTAAAGTCGATGTACACCACGTCAACATCCTTCGTTCTTTGAGAGCCCGTAGCCACTGGTGGTCTGCATACATTAAGTTGGTGATGCAGGATTGCTCTTTCGTGAAGCCGTGTTGTACTGGCGTCAATATATTCATCGATTCGTGGAACGGCAGCAGACACTTTTTCACAATCTTCTCGTGAAGTTTGGACAATATCGAAGCCAAACAGGTCGGTCTATGATTCTCTATTTTACTCGGATCACCACCCTTGGGAAGCGGTCTCACTGTCGGGTTTTTCCATCGTTGGTGACAGATCCTTCAGTGATTTATTGAATGGGTTTGTCACAGCTGGTGAGATGACATTTGATAAGGATGTAACTATTAGTGGATGAAGTTCGTCTGGTCGTAAGGGCTATGCACCATCGAGATTGACGTGCAGCTGCTACACTTGGACTGCATCGCATTGTACACTGTCGAACAAGACTAAGGAAAACTCTGCCGGTACTAGGACAGCCGCAGGTTTAATGGAAAATACGGTAAGTGCGAAGTCAAGGCATCCGCGTGTTCTGCGCTTGAAATAAGCGATTGTCCGTCCAAGGTCTCTAAGACCGGTGGGTTGTCAGCAGGTTTCAGTTGACATTTCAAGTAGGCAAATACTCGCATGATAGCGGTTGCGGCAGAGGCCGCTAGTTCCCCTTCGAACGGGCGGTGTTTCTTGATCTTTGCGGCGTTACATATGTTATGCTGTTTCTTGTACACCGTGTAATTCTCATCACAACCCGAGCTGATGTATCCATCCCAAAGTTTGCAACGCCGTCGCGCTAACTGTCTATATTCCGTAGCAACCCAATGCGGTTTGACAAGTGCGAGTTTTGAATATTTCAGGGGAACGAACGGAATACACAGCGAGTTTAGCTTTGCTTTCATTACTGACCAATAGGCCTCAAGTGACGCATCCTGGTGGTAATGTCCTATCAGTCTGACTTGCGGCTTGGACGAGCCCATTGAAGTCCGTCTTCCAATAGTTGAATATCGGCTTCTGTTGGTTTCAATACCGTAACGACAGTTCTATGCTTGACACAATAGAGAAGTGGTCACAGTTCGCTAGAGGCTCGAGGACTCTGACCACTTTCAGATTCTGCTCGCAGCTCGCAAACATTAGGTCCGAAGAAGAGGCCGAGTGCGAAGTTACGTGTGTCGATTGAACGACATATTGCGTTGCCCCCATTTTAATAGTCATTTTAGCGAACTGAGCCTTAACGTCGTCAATGCCCGGAAGAAACCGAAAGTCTGGTTAGCTTATTCTAGGGAAATTTAGGTCACCCATCAGTAGAAAGTAAAGGCGGCTCATGTGCTTCTGCGTACGTGGTAGCCAATCACAACAACGGTTTACTGGGGCACGTTGGATAACACCTACTATTAGTTCTGCGTGACTGAGGCGCATGGAGCAGCACAGTTGTTACCATAGGTAATCCTCCATCCGATAGAGGCCCATCAGTTTGCCTGATGGTGACGATTTGATGTACAACAGAATACTACCGTGAACCTAAAATTTTCGGTCGAATCAGAAACAAGAGTATCCTGACAAGGCGATTTCCAGGGGTATGACGTCGGAGTTCATCCAAGTCTCTGTAAGTCCTAAGACGTCCGGCCGCTCCTAGACAGTGCAGCGGCACAGTTCTTCACGTTTGTTCATTTGGCTACGCATGTAGGTGAATGCTACACGGAGGTCCTGGGAGGTACCGCGAGACGTGCCTGAATGTTGAGCAGCCGGTTGATACGGATACATACACTCTTCTTGATCACTCGAAAATCTATAATGTGTAAGTCAGTCTCACCTTCTTCTGTATGACGTTTGAGCTCAACGGCCGCAGTCTTCAAACGATCACAGTACTCGGGTTCCAAGTCTCGGCGGATGTGAACCTTTATGTCTTTCAGCCTTGACAGATGACACAGTATGAGCTGCGGAATTTTGTGATTACCAAAAGTGATTCACAGAGGTCATCATGACTGTTTAGTTTGCTTGCCAAGTCTGGTCAGTTGTTTAATCGTCACATTGTCTTCACCCACATCCAAGAGTATATCGATGAGCCCCTAGAGGAACTCAACATCGTGATCATAACGTATCTGAGGGTTTTCATCTTTTGACTGGTACGTGGAAGATCATGAGATTATGACGCCTCAGCGAAATCGGTGAAATACCTGTGGGAGCAGCACTAGAAGCACTTATCGGTTTGGGTTGTTGTTTACCGGCAGGTAGCGCCTGAACTCGGCTACGTGCCCCCTTGCGGTTTTGAGCGATCAGTGAATCCTCGGTGTACAGAGATTCACAGACAGGCTCTAAGAAATTCATGGAGCGACCAGTAAAGCGAAATTTCAGAGGTTCCGAGTCTGAGTTTCCAATCCGTGGGGAACATTGAAGCTGAGACTTGGCCTGGGTCGAAAACGCTGACGGTTGTGCAAATCGTGGAGTGGCAGGGGAGGTGAGTTGACAGAGGTACTTTCACGAGGGCGTTTGACCCCACTAGGTGAACGGTGTGTTTCCGCCTATAAGAGGTTTTCATGTAGTCTGTAGCGGTCATTGTATAGTTTACTGTCTTGAACCGCGAAATTTATCACATGTAATCTGGAAAAACCGGTGGAATGTCGAGCGGTTTCCGAAAAATGTGTACGGAGAAACTAATACACAAAATACGGGACAAAACAGCGCAGCGGAAGCACCGAAATTCATGAGTCTTGTGTCCAACAAATTTCGAACACGAACCACAAGTAGCTTGAGACGGTATCACAATGTAGAACAAGTCCAAGATGGCAGACACAGACAACAGTTGGGCCAATCAATGAGATCTCCGAAAGTAGCCAGAGTATATCCAGCAAATTTGCACATATTGAAAAATACACCAAAAGAAAAATACTGTTGCACAATTCACACAGAACAACAAGTAGAACACAGTAATCCCGAAGTAAAAGTGGGATCCAGCACATGGTAATTGAAAAAATCCGCGGTGTCCGAAGGTACGTAACTCATTGAGACAAAACACATTTTGTGTTTCAGCAACAAGAGGAGGAAAGTCCCTCTTTCGTTTGATTTTCTCGTATGTGTGCATGTCGCATGGTAATGGACGAATGGCACCATTATTATTTCTCCTATCAGACTCTATTCTGAGTTACGCACAGGACGGTATGATTATTTGAGCGAACTCATCTCAGATGTACAGACTAACATTGATTTAATCCTTCTACCTTCATGGAATCTTTGATGTACTTTTAGTTGTTGTTACTCGTAACAATTTTAGCATTTGCTTTGTCTGCTTGAACGTGAAATGTGAATAGTGATGTTACCGCTTAGCCGCATGTACCCAACCACCCGATCGGTGTGAGGTGGCCATGCAACACTATGTCAATAAATATGATGATGATTTTGACTACTCATAAGTAGGTTCAGCTCATAAGCTTATCATCGCATAAAATACACTACTGTAGTCTAACCGTAATCTACACAGACTGGGTGCTCTCTAGCCCAACATTGAAATCGTTGTGAAGATTATCCACCTGGTCAGGTTCGAGGAGCCATTACCAGACTGATTTCTGAGCTTTCTGAAGGAATCACGACTGCCCCTGACATGACCGGTGCCACGCATCTTTTCCACGCTTCAGTTGGAGGCGGATGGTTGGGTCGTGTTTTAGAGCAGA